TCCTCTGTGTACCTGTGCGTTGGTATGGTGGTACGCCATTTATGCGATTATCTTTTCCCCCTCATTAACTTGTTATTTGTCTCAAATGACGGCAGTTTGTATGAACGGCTGCTTTCTACCTAACCTGATACCGATGAGAATAAGGTGTACCGCGACCCAATCAGCTTGTAAATTGTCGCAATATCGATTGCTTCCCCCGGAGGCTTTAGTTTCAAGACTTCGATGTCAAGCCCATTAGTGGAAGGGGAATCGCACTATCTCGCAGTTTGCTACTTGGTCGTGGCAGCTAACCTCATCCCACGCAGTCACTTAAGAGGAAACTCATGGGTTCTAACCGCTCACCATCCAGCGGGATTGAGCACTATGAGTTCTCGAGTGATGAAACCACCGTCGTTTCCCTCTGAAACTAACCTAACTAAGGGTATCCGTGAGGAGCCTCGTATGGTATTTCTCAATACCTTTTTTACCTTTTCAATACCTGCTGATCATACCACGATCTACGTCACCTTGATCGCACAATATTACTTTCTTTGCATGCCATCCACTTTATATGCTTATAAAGCTCCGTATCCATCCCACATAGTTCAGGGTCATACATAACGTTTTCACAATCACAATATATCAATATGCATCTATAGTCCGGTTCGCAGCAGGACCGTAAACAGAATTTCAGGGTACAGAGAGAACTACACATCTTACCTGATATCACTTAAATTTCTTTGAAGCCCTCCACCTTATGAGACGATACAATGGAGCGATATATCAATGAAATCGTTATGCGATGGGTTGCTGGAGCCCGATTTTTCAACCGAGACCATGGTCCATCTAGCTGTAACTATTTTCTTTCAATTCTCTCTCACCATCTCCGTTGGAGTTCGGCGTTTGTTTCCGCTCCGGATAACAACACATATTGGACCTAGCTGTTACCCAGATTGGATTCTTCCGCTTTCTTCTCACTACGTAGGCCAACTGATGGTACTTTCCAGCACATCGGCATCACCAGTGTCACATTCTCTTATTGTACGTTTAGCTCCAAGAGTTTGTGATTCTCTGTTAAACTATTGGTATTTACCACCCACAAACTCCTGCTGGAACGATTGGAACCTACTCATCGCATCCAGCCACATTGTCCGTAGTCCAGGAGCCTACAAGGTGCCGAATCTGTAGGTATCCAGGGTTCGACATGTCGGTGGGCAATGAAGTCACTGTAATTGGTGATCTGAGTAACTTTGTTCCATCTTACCTTCCAAATGGGAATCCAAGCGATCGCGAAGGTGAGACATGGGGTTCTTTACACGCACGTCTGCGGCCCGTACAGAGGACACTATTATGGTTGCCGGCATCCGGTTCCGGTTTTGCCTGTCGCTGTGGTCTCCATACGACAGTCAAAGGACGCCTGCGCCTACAGAGCGACCATGGGTGGCTTGCGCTGCACCATCCACCACTCCAACCACACACCCCATATCCAGTGTAAACCCGAAGGAATAAGACCGGGAGGCATGTGGATGGGAGCCACGTTTCATCAACGGAGCCGGCCCACACTCCTTCACAGGCAAACACAAACACGCTGTATTTGGGAATCAACCGCACACAAGGCGGTGGCTGGACCGTAGTCCACTCCACACTGAGTGCATGGAAGCGCTCTTTGAGCCCAGCACGACCACAAGGCCCGTGCACCCAGTCACCTCCAGCAACGACCAACTGTCTCCTGGAGCCAGTATGGACGAGGTAGTGGGTAATAGACAGGTGGGCACCTTGTCTACATGCGCGTCCAGCACAGACACACCCAGGGCGCTGTATCGTATATATATATATATATATATATATATATATATATATATATATATATATATATATATATATATATATATATATATATATATATATATATATATATATTCCTTCGCGTTTACACTGCATATGGGGTGTGTGGATGGAGCTGTGGCTGGTGTAGCACAGGCCACTCATGGTCCCTCTGTGATCGCAGGCATCCTTTGGCTGTCTCCATAGAAGCCGTAGTGATGGGTAAATCCGAAACCGGATGCTGCTAACCATATAAAGTTGTCGTGTGTGACCCTCCCGACAACAAATATGGCCCATGCGGCCCTCGATGGTTCCTTGATTTGACACGCCTGTCTCACATGACAGCCACAACCGGCACCAGCGGTGTGTTTGCTTTGCGCTCTATCCATGCTGTCTGCGTGGTTATGTTGGTTATGGTGCGAGACAGTGAAACTGCAAGGTCGTTGTGACACTGTATGAGGTGTTTGTTGTTCCATTGTATTGACTGCTACATTTTCTACACTACTTTGCATTTCGTCTCTGCTCATTTGTCGGTACAAGGAAACACCGCTAGTCCTCGATTTTGTGACGTGCGATTGTCACTGACTGACGCGACTCGGTCTGCTTCACTTTCTGCTTAGCTTGTGAGGCCCTAAGTTTGGAAAACGCTTTCAGCGCTGTAATTCATCATAGCTGCTTGTCAATGCCTCGAGCCTCCTTCGGCGGTTCGGTCATATAGTCCATACGTATACCAAGCACTCGGTTGCCCTGGCGTGTGTTGTTTGCAAAGATTGTGCCCATTCTAGCGAAATCCCGAGGTGGTTGTCAGTCAGTGACAACGAAGTTGTATGAAGAAATTCCCCCAAAGCCTGAGTCGGGTTGATGCTTTTCGTTCTACTAAACCATTTATCGGTCAATCGAATCTATACTACCATCAATTTCCTCTATACTAAACTCGAGTTCCTCTATAACTCGCTCGAGATAGTTCGTATCTCAATTAAATTGTATCCAGCACGCATGCATGCATGTACTCCGGCTGCATACACGTTGCTTGGGCGACTTACGGAGAAATCTGATTTTCTTTTTGAAAAAGTCGCTTGCATTCTGGATGCAATTGGCGGAGAAATAGTATGGATGTAGGTATATAAGAACTCAAATACTCTACCGGATGTGGCCAAAGTAGAATGGAGAGTACGCCGGCACACCGTACCGATGTTTCGCTGCCACGCGTTCACCACCGGCGGATATGGCACTCTGGTGAAATCACTGGCCCTCTTGCGTTATTTCTGGCCTCTCTACTCCCTATCTTGCACATTCCTTTAGCATTAATGTTTGTTGTGTGTGCGACGCTTGTCAAGGCGACTGGGTCCACTACCCTTCGATGCGCGAATCTTACTATATGAGTCGAACGCTGATGCGCCCTCTCTCCACTGTTGGTTATGTCACTGGTATTTCTACGCCAAAACGATGCGCATGCTGTGTTGTTAAACTTTTCTCACTTATCTCCTTGTAACGTTGTTCTGATCACTGATGTCTCACTTTTGGCTGCCTTTTCTCCGACAGCGTTATTGGGAACTACATGTTCCTCTCTGGATGGGACTTGACGTTGGTACTTAAGCAGGCCGATGTGATTCAGCTCACCTCAGTTCCTTAATTGTAACCCAAGCGCGCACTGATCCGCTACCGATTATTACCAGCAGATCACTCGCGATGTATCAAAAACGACTACATCTTTAAGAAGATTTCAGATTACAATGGAACTTACACGCTTTTCAGTGTTATGCAACTGAAGTGTCATCCCCACGGTCACTAGACGTCAAAACACATAGTACTCCGCACGCAGATATATATGATATATTGGGCTTTCGGCGCACTGTTTCCCGATTTGCACACCTAACGCAACGCTACCGCTCCTTTGCGCGAATGACTTTTCGGAATTCCTCACGTATAACCTTTGACTTGACACATTCACATTTCGTTCACCATTGCTCTGATGCATCTGATTTGTACCCCAGTTGACTCTTTGTAGCTACTGCTCACCTCTCGCAGCCTCCTTCACACACACGCCCGCACACACACACTGTCTCAACTCACTTGCTCTCCCACTTGTGCTGTTTCTGACACTTAGATGAACATGGCGGATCCAACAGTGGAACTAGTCATTGCCTTTCATAGGAGGAGTCCAAACCAGGACGAAACCGCGATCGTGGTGTGCCAGTGTTGGGAGGAGCGACCCAAATATTTCCATAGTCACTGCCCTGTTGCATTCCCTCAACCTAATGAAGGACTCTAGTCATTAACGCAACCCTTAAATGCAATTGCTTAAGTAACTGCGTTACGGCTGACGACGGCTCCTGACATCATCGTGCGACTGATTGTGACTCAAAGTAGCCCCTTCTCCACACGAATTCACATATTGCAGTCATACAGTGGTCCACTCTCTTCTCAAACAACCCATCAGTTAACATCCGATTTCGTAATCCTAATTGATGAATTTAGCTCTGTTTTTACATCCTGGCCGGACCCAACTAGACGTTCACCGGGATCCGATGAAACCTCGAACTGGGGTCCCTTCCCTCTTAAGTTCATAAATAGTATGTATTACCTCAGCTATATGAAGACCACTAAATTGTCGCCCTACCCCAATCACCTTAGCTTTATGCCTCGGGATCTTGGCGGTTACCGGCAGTGTATGCGGCTGAGTTGACAATTGCGCCTTGGCAAAGTTCATGCCAAATCGCCGCTTACTTGAAACCGATAAGAATGACTCTCCGGCGGTAACCACTTTTCACGATTGAGTCGTCGTTAACAGGAGGCGTTTTGCACTGGAATCCTACTCACCTTTTGTGCATTTTGCTCCGCTTTCTAAGTGGGTCTACAGAGATCGTTCCGCTTCACGACTCCATGCTTCTTGTCGATAGCAGCTACTGTGTGTGTTACCTTACTTTAGCTTACCCTTTATCACCGTTCACTACAACTCGTCATTGTGCATTCGAGTAGAGAATGGAAGAGTTGCAGCACAGAACCACATTAATCCGACATCAAGCCTTATGTGTAGTCTTTCCAGTCTAACACACAATTTGAATGGATATTTTGAAGTTCCAAAACACTCATAATCACTTGTGTCATAATCACTTTTTCCGGAATGCCAGTCCTCACATGTTTCTTACTTTGTCTCTTGTGCCCATCTCTGCCCCCCCCCCGTTTGTGTTCCTCAGGCTTCAATCAACTGGGCATCACAGCCCGCAGCAGCTTGGTCCGTGGCGCAATGTATCCCGTGGTGCTGTTGCTCTTGAGTCGCGACTACCAACCAGACACAGACGAGTACAATTATTTTGATTTTCCGCCCGAGGAACGTGCCATGATCATGCACCACTTCCCCACGTTCATCCGCTTCACCGAACATCTTCGAATGACTGGTCGACTGCTCTATCATCTGGGTCTCAGTTTGCAGGAGTTATCTTTGTGCTCGGCTGTAGAAATTCTGCGCAGTACGTCGTTCCACTTGAGGTTGTTATGTTCGTATTTTATCATTTGGAACCCTTACGGACATCATCAACGCGGGTTGCTTGTAAAACATCGTTGTTCTCAGTAGTGCTTCCCATCTTGAGACACCGTCCACCCCTGCTCCTGTCGTCATCATAGGTGCTGTCGCAATTTCTTTCCGTATGGTTTATCAACCTTTCTCTGGAAATCAGTTTATGCACAGCTCCAGCTAAAGGTTGTAAAGACCAAATAAAGCGTATCAATTTGAGACATTAGTAAGCACTGTACTCGACGAACGAACAAACGTTTGCGGGCACGTGCTCACGCGCTGGGCAGACAATTATTTCACTACTACCAGTGAAATTTACTGAGACTTAAACGGCCCGCTTTGAGATTCCCACTGGCTGGGACAATGGGCTCTAATACTTGGTCGGTTTCTTCATTTCTTCTGTCTGTACCATCACTCGACAACCGTGAAGCCTCAAGGAACCCTTTTAAGCTCTGACGGGCAGGACATGCTATAATAGGCAATCGGCGAAGTGTTGACCTACGTGATCTAGCTAGTGTAAGCAGTCCGAGTTCAACAGGCGCTGTGTTTATACTCCGGGTGCCTATTTTTACAACAACTGCTGGACAACAAGTTGGAAATACTTCGTGAGCACTGTGGACCAGAAACGAGTTTCCTTCGATGTTGGTTACCTAAATCCTCTACTACTTTTATGGCAACTAGTAGTTACCCAACACTGGCTTCTCATTGATTACGCGTCCACGATCGGCGTACAGTAGGACCGATATGACAGCTTTTCCTGTCCCCGTTAATCGCGAAGACAGAGAACACTGTCATGACGCCTTAAATTAGTGAGCACTTGCAGTCGAAAACTTCTAGCTTTCAGCCGCAGCAACATCAGTGCGTGGGGCTTGACTCTGCTGTTGCTCGTCATCATAATTCAAAACCGAAGGCCGCATCACTAGGGAATACAAATGCTTTGATCACACATTTCACACCAAGGATCACACGGGTGCTGGCGAGACCGTTCCCGTATAGCCTTTTTCCACCACACTCCACAGATAACCTGACATTATACACTGCGCAAACAGTTCAACCAGAAGATGGTAGCGAGTGAGTAATTCAACGCAGCCGATTGCGCACCGTTGTGTCCGAGCCGGGTACAAAGTGAGGAGTCACGTGGACCCCAAAGTAACAGGTGTGTGCTGGGTTTCGTTTGTAAACTTCCATCACACTATCCGCTATTTCACTTTTTATATGGCTGGTTCCACACAAACCAGCTAGCTTACTCGTATTTGAACACAATCCGATTAAGAGCTCACAGAGCGCCATCACGGATGAAGATCATCTAATGCTCCATCCCCATTTTTGTCTGTCGCAGTTGGAATCGCGTAGGTCGCCTCGCTCAGTACGACACGGATGAGCAACATCTGAACGTGCAACACTACACCATCCATGTTTCATATTCCTTAGCCTCGGCTTGGTCGCCCGACCTAAAGTGTGCTTACCAATCGTGAAATATATGCCCAGGTCTGTTCAGAACGGAGGGGTCTACCTCGATAGCGAAAGTGTAAGATTCCCCCTCCCCGGCTTCATTTTTTCCACTTTGTACTTCAACAGCAGTTAACTCCATTCCGGTGTCGCAGATACTACGCTTCAATGATCAGCGCTGTGCCTTCTACGCATTCTTGGTGCGTCTCCATCCTCGTCCTTGATTCATCCCCTCGCTGGATATCTCTTTTGAAGCAAGCACACAGTAGCACTAAACTTTGTTCGAATGCCGCCGTCGGCATGTGGTGTCCTACAAGTTCCTCCATGTGTGCTGCGCACTTACAAGGATACTGCTGACTTTTCGACCGCATCGTATCGGATAAAAATATTTTCACAACTACACCGGTACTGCGTTCCGTCGTTTCGTTATCATGTAGCTTCAAGCGGCCCTATGCCGACTGGGACGCGCATCCCCTTGTAATTGCCGGACCCGAGGCGCAGAGGTTACAAACGAAACACCGGAACCACGGGTACCCATCTAGTCGCATGCTGTGATGAGGGCGCAGGAGGATACAGAAGCAATGGAGTAGTGTGATTGGATGCATCCATGGATTTCCAGTGGGCGTAGTACTGTTTAACTTAAGGGACACCACCACGAGCCTTCTATTTAGCGACTTATATCCACATGGCAGCGGGGTCTTCGTTAAACAGTCCTACTCGCTGATGACCGGTGATTGGTTCCTCATTTCATGTGCCTGATTGATTGTTACCAAGCGAATACTCGGCATGCATTTGTCGAAAGACATTGCTTCATTGGAAAGATGCAAGAAGCAGTGACTAGTCACTTTCATTTCGTCGTGTCTGACAGATGTGGGTTTTATGTGAAGAAAGCCAGCTCAATGAAGAGTCGCTATGTCCTAGCGACTCGTTAGCTGAACTTGAATAACGCTGAGTCACCATGAAGACATGGTCATATGAACCTTTCAACTCCTAATTTGGCCGGCGCTGAAGTCTCTTCTTTTGGGAAATCAGAACGCATCTGTGCCGTCTAATCCGTAGGTCAGTCCGTTACTTCATGCTTCTTTCGCTTTGTGATCGGCTAGTCACACTAGTCACAATCATTCGTAGTCAGAATGTCTATACGTCCCACCTAGTTTTTCATTGATGAATAGAAAGGCACCACAATACACAAGTCTAGCATCTGATATTCCCTTTTCTGCAGGGAACCTGTGTGACTACAAAGATGAACCGTCACTTTGTCACTGGCTAGGAAATCACAGCCGCCCCAGTGAACAGGATGTGGACATTGCCACTGCTACCGTAGGCTTGTCGTTATATCATAGATAGAAAACGTAACGAGCAGAAGACGAGCGCGATAAGCTCACTGTGTGTCGGGGTCAGGTACCGTATTATATCTGCTTTCCCCCCTTCCGAATGCCCAATCCATACTAACCTGGCTGCTCGGCAGGCACACTGCGAACTTCATCTGTGGAAGTGTTTTTACACTGCGTTCCATCACTTTCACACATGAATCGGAAAGGGAAAGCACTTCGAAGTCGTCTTACATCTTCTGCTCTCGTTGTATTCCACCACGCATAATATGGTTTGCACTGACCGCTTTTTGTGGATGTACGAAAAACGGCAAAGAATTGCCACAAGCTGCTGACAACGGCTTTCTTCTTTGACTTTCACACCATTCTGGATCTTTGTATGGGTAAAGTTCCCACCAAAAAGTTACCTATCACAGACGCCGCTTGCCCCATCTCTCGTCATCTTATCGGGATTCATTAGTATCGATCAGATTCACGGTATCCGTCACCGCCCCTCAGTGACATTCCGTCAGTCTTGTCGTTTCAACCTCAGCTTTTCCCCCGTACCACTGTCGTTTTGTTGGCATCCGAGGATCCCTCGTACACAGACGCGACTAAACACATCGTCATTGCCATCATCCTCACAGGTTAACTAGAGATGCGAACCCCCCCCCCCCCAAAGCTGTTGTGGTGTGTTCGGAAAATGAAATACAAACTGTAAGAAACAGGTAACATTATGTTGTCTTTTGTTGTACTTCAAGATTCAGACCGTGGTCAGAGAGGAGGCTAAGCGGGAAGAGGAGGGACAGAGAAAATTACGCACGCTATTCGATCGCCTGTTGGTCATGTCGACAAGTGTCCCTGGCCGAATGCGTTCGTTACCTTTGGGTCTCCAATCGGCGAGTCCGGAGGCACCACCGGATGTCAAGTTCCAAATGCGAAGCTTCATTCCTTCTGACTAAGCCATCGGTTGACCTCCCCCCGTTTTCCATCCAGACTCCGGTCGCACAAACAATCCGCGTCGCGGAGGTAAGTGTAAATAAATATAGTAGACCTGAGCAGTACGCCGTACCGACGCCTAAGCTGTCACGCAACCACCACCAGTGGCGCGAACGGTAGGAATACTGCGAGGGTCGCCCGGTCTCCTACACAGGCGCGAACCCGTACCCTCCGAGTTGCAAAGCAAATGTCTTGTTCCTTCGACCACGATATGTTGACATGCATAACACATGGCCCAGTCATGGGAGCCTGATGCGCCAGGTAATGTCGCTGGGCGGCTCACTTCCTCTTCTTGCGCCGAACATGCTCATTTCTCACGTTGCTTTTTCATCAGACATGAGCTAAGCAGCGAAGGTACCGGTACTCGAAGAGAACTAGCCTCTTTATGTCGTGCGCACCTCATTTTTCTCCAAGTGAATCTTCGTTGCAACATCACATGTGTGGCCTCGATGAGTAATATATCTCTGATCCTTGTACTTCTCGGCTCAACCTCAGCATGCCGTTTTCTACTATGGTGCAATGAATGTTACGCGTTATCCCACCCCAGTGCTCAGTGAAGTTGCGAACTACTGCTCAACCGCATAAAAACAGTGCGTCCGGTTACCGCGATAATACGGCGGCGTGAGGGAGTTGAAACATTCGGAGGATCTTACACACATCACGTCATTCAATTCGATGTCTTCCTTTGATCTCTTGCTTGATGGAGAATACGAGGAGCAAAACCACAAATTCAGAGTTACATTAACAAACTCACTCAACAGACTACCTACACATACACACAAACAACCACATGCATACATACACATATGTTACTGGTTAACCTGTAATTTTTTGTGCAATTGCCGATTATCCATGTTTGTATTATCATGATAATGCCTTTACAGGCGTGTCTCTCACTGCCGTGAGTAAACCATTTATCTATTAATTTAGCAACTGGTTTGATTATAAGTACCAAACCCAGTGCGACATCACCACTTGGCCACTGTACAATGTTGCTCAAGGTGTCCGACCACTGGTCACTGCTGGAAAAGACGACAGTCCAATGCAACCCAATCTTTCATACCGTGCTCATTCTTGTTTGCTTCGTCGTTGAAGCTCTTCGCCCATGTCTTGTCTGCATACAGCATACACCGATGTACCGGGGTCTCTCTACAACAACAGTCTCGTTATTTTAGTCACGGGGTAGACCCATTGCCAA